CTTGTCCAGACCTCTGAGCCCCGACTCAGACTGGGAGAACCAGATTTCCCTCGGCCCTGCCCTGGAGCCCCCTCCCCATCTCGGAGTGCGCCCAGACCCAGGTCCTCTTCTCGCCCCCAGGTCCCCACAGCCCGCCCCTCGGTCTCAGCCACAGCTCTGCGATTCCCAGACTCAGACACTGACCCAATCCCCAGTCTTCATTCAGGGAGCACCCCCACCCCAGCCTTCCCGAATCTGCCGGGTGTCCACTCCCGACTGCACTTCCCAGGGAGGGCTCTAACTCTGGGGATGGGGAGTGCATCAGCTCTCTCACTTCAGCCAGGACCAAAGCCACCCCCCTACCGGCACCAGCCTATCAGACCATCTCTGTTAAACCTGACTGGAACTCAAGAGCCCAGACTAAACTCTGGGAGACCCGATCTATTCATGTTCCCCACACACCTAGATCTTCAGGGTCAGCCTCAGCCCCTACACCAGCCCCAGAGCCCCCACGCCCAGCCCTGAAGGTCTCTCTGCCCACCCTGCATTCAATCCCCTCCAGCCAATCCCGCTGCCCTTCTTCCCCAAGAGTTCTAAGAGCCCCCAGCTCCAACTGTCCTGGATCAGGAACCACACTTGGGGCCTTAGACCCAGACACCCCATCTCCCACCTTCCTCAGGCTTCTAGAAACAGCCGCGTCCTGGGCCTCTGAGCCTCTGCCCCCTGGTAAGCATTTCTGATTATGTTGCAGGTGCTACTGATACCTTGGAGGTCCCGCTTCTGCAGCCCCCCACAGTGCTGAACCCCAAACAGCAGACCCTGCAGACCCACAACCTGACCTGGAAGGAGAGAGAGAGCTGCCTGCCCCTACCCAGCCTCCCCTGCAATATAGCCATTGTGAAATGTCCCAGTCTGCCATCTGCTTATGCTTGAGACCCCAGTCCACCCAGGACCGGGCAGATGGAGGAGAGAGCAGGGTGGGCAGGCCTGGGTCAACCCACCCCCAGGTCAGTGCTGTGGATAGAGGTGCACCCACAGCTTCCGATAGGGGGTGAGGGGTGCATGGAGATGTCCCCACGGAAGGCCATGTGTCGGGCTGGCTGCTGGTTCACTGTGAACCCTTCTCGTGCTTTTTTGGTAAACGGCCCTGCTCTGAGCTATTCCTGCCTCCCAGGGCCTTTTCGGGCCCCCTCCAGATTCAGGTGCAGGACAGCAGGGGGCCTTCTAGGACAATGCCCCAGGCTGGAATCTGAGGGCTTAGAGGCTTAATTTTTTTTTTTTTAAGTTTTTATTCTTTTCTTCCATGAGAAAGGGAGAGACAGAGGGACAGGCACCCCCAACAGGGTCTTCATGCTGTGATCTGCCCATAGCTTCAGCCAGCCTGGATCATCACGGGCAGACATGCCTGGCACATTCAGGGAGGTCTCCAGATACGAACTCAGAACCTTCCTGTGTGGGGCAGCCTCGCAGAGCATCGTTTTACTGCATACTTCAGTTCAGGCTGCAAGTTGTCCCCACCACTCCTAGGGATGATGGGCCTTGATGGCTACCTGGGTTTGGGAGCTCTGGGGTGAGGGGGTGGACGCTGAAGGAAAGAAATCAGGAGTCCTTGGAGGAGAGGTGGGGACATCTCTGGGGAAATGACAACTGGGAACCATTTGGGGGAGGAGGGAATTCAGAGAGAATCTAAGAGTTAAGAGAGCTGAGAGAAGAGATGGTAAGAGTCCAGACACTGAAGATGCATAAAGAGATCAGCGTCAGGGCCCACTCCATGGCCTGGTGATTAACACAGCCAGATCCCACACAGCCAACCTCGTAGTTCAAGCCTCAGATCTGGTGGCCCAAGAAACATGTCAGGAATGTGCACATGGCAGGATGGAGATGGAGGGATGGCATTTCAGCGTGACCACACCCTGCTGGGGGTGCTTTGTCCCTCTCCCTTTATCTGTATGTCTGTCTCTCTTGGGTAAATGCACATGCCCTCTGGCAAAATTTCTCTTTTTAAGAAGTGAGAGAGAGAGATCAGAGGTCAAGTTTGGTGCAAAGCAACCAGGGGTTGGGAAGGTGATGGAGAATCAAAGAATTGAAGGGATGGCATTTCAGCGTGACCACACCCTGCTGGGGGTGCTTTGTCCCTCTCCCTTTATCTGTATGTCTGTCTCTCTTGGGTAAATGCACATGCCCTCTGGCAAAATTTCTCTTTTTAAGAAGTGAGAGAGAGAGATCAGAGGTCAAGTTTGGTGCAAAGCAACCAGGGGTTGGGAAGGTGATGGAGAATCAAAGAATTGAGGATGGGGACCAGCAGTTGGCGTAACGGCTATGTCGGTGGGCTCCCACGTAGTTGACCAGGTTCAAGTCCCGGACCCAGTGGCTTAAACTCATGCTGGGCATGTGTGTATGTGTGCCCAAGATCCTGAGAGGAAAATGGAGAAGAAGGAATTGTGGTGTGGCCATCCCCCCAGGGGTTGATGTCTTGCTTTCTGTCTTTCTGGCGTGCCCTATAGCAAAAACCTCTAAAAAAAAAAGGAATTGAGGATGTGTTAATGGGATATAAATTGAGCAAGGTTCTATTTTTAGAGTTTATTTATTTTGAGAGAGAGCGAGAACACCCTCAGCAGAGTCTTGCTACCTCTGTCCACTCCCAGCCTCACCCAACCAGGTCATGGCATCTGTACACACACCGGCACCCAGAGGTACTGGGAGGTCTCAGGATGCGAACTCTGGGCCTTCCCACGTGCAACTAGTTGCATTACCAGTGTGCCAGCACTGGCCTCTGAGTGAACTTCTAACCAAGGAAGCGCTCAGTGCTTGGGCACGTGAGTTCGTTCATTCTCTCAACAAAGGATCTAAGGAGCACCTACTCTGTCAAGCCCCGGGCAGGAGTGGCCCCTGCCCTCATGGAGCTCTGAAAGAGCAGGGGAAAGGCCAACGAATCGGACGTTCAGGGACGTGTGGAGCCATCAGATGAGAAGCCCGGGGCCAGGCAGGACTCAGGCCTAGGAGGTAGTCAGTGGTCCAGGAGGTGCTGAAGGGTCACAAAGGGTGCAGGGAGCTGCTAGGGGTTAGGGGCTTCTAAGGGCTGCTAAGGACCGAGGGTGCTAAGGGCTTAGGGAGATGTTAACAGGTCAGAAGGTGCCAAATGTCAGGGGGGTGTCGAGGAGTGGGCAGGTGAGACTGAGAGTCAGAACAGGCACAGGGACAGCCAGTCACTCCCTGAGCTGCACAGACACGGAGGAGTCGGTCACCCTGGTCCGCCGCAGCCCGCCACGCTCCATGCGGTTCTTGGCTTTGTGCAGGAAGTGGACAAAGCGCACGCCGGGGCCATACTGGCGGAATACGTGGGACACCTGCGGCGGCATCCAGGCTTAGGAAGGACTCTAACAAAGGACACGCAGCCCCTGCTCTCTTCCCTCCTCCCTCAGTGAGATCCCGGGCAAGAGCACATGTCGGGTAGTCTCACCTGGACCCAGCGGCCAGGGGGGCCTCTCGCAGAGGTCCGGGGGGCCACGTGGTGTTGCGCAATGATTGAGCGGCGGTCAGCTGCCAGCAGCCAGACGTGCAGCTCGTAGACACACGTGTCCAGTCGGCTGTCCTCAAACCTGAAGGAGGGCGGTCCAGGCCACTGGCTGCTACTGAGGCCCCAACATCCCAGCTCTGACCACTAGCCCCATTGCCCACTCAACACGCACTCATTGGTGTCCACTCTATGCCTGGCCCTGGGCTGCTGGATGGTGCTGGTCCCACAGCAGTGACCAGAACAGACTCACACCCTGTCCTCGTGGGAGTCACAGTCCAGCGAGGGAGGCAGACATGTCACCAGGCAGTGGCAGCCAGGTATGGCTAGGGTTGGGTTGGGGGGCATAAGAGGGAGGTGGGGGTTGGGGGTGGAGACAAGCAGAGGGTCAGAGCTGAGTTGGGGGGCACCGGAAACTGGAGCCAATGCACCCGCCCAGCTGGGGAGGGTACGGAAGGCTTCTGGGTAGAGCCATGTGTAACTGACTCTGGACAGATCAGGAGGAATGTCTTGAGAGCAAGAGGGGCAGGGACAGACAGCCACGGGAGAAGAAGTGGTCTCCGTAAATCCCAAAGATGTGCTCAGCCTGGCGCCTTCCAAAACTGAAGGCCTGCCGACAGGGCCAGAGAGACAGGCAGGTCTGGATGCTGCGGCGCCAGGAGGCCCTTGGTGAGTTTAGCGCACACCAAGGCTGATGCTCTGGGGGCCCGTGTGACTGGGGAGTCCAGCAGGTGGGCAGGGCACATACCAGTCCATGACTGTGACATCTGGCTGCTCGTCATCAAGCAGCTCCTCCCATAGGCCCTCGGCCAGAAGATCCACACACTGCTGCTTCACCGTCCAGCTGTGACAGAGGAGCACGGGGGCCGTGGGGCTGGGACCCGCTGGGAGCCTCGGGGGTCTCCAGGTCAGCTCAGCCCCAGGGAGCAGGGGACCCTGATCGCAGTGCTTTGTAGTGACAGCAAGGGCACCCCACACAGGGTGATTACAGCCTCAGTCCCCACCAGCCCCCCAAGGGTGGTATGTTCTCAACTCTTTGTTGTAGATGAAGAAACTGAAGCTCGGGACCAGCAGTTAGCATAATGGCTATGTCTCTGGACTCCCACGTAGTCAACCGTGGTTCGAGTCCTGGACCCGGTGGCTTAAACTCATGCCGGGCACATATGTGTGCATGCCCAAGCTCCCGAGAAGAGAAGGGATTGCGGTGTGGCCATCCCCCCTGGGGGGGGATTTCTCACTTTCTGTCTCTGTCTCTCTTTCTTTCTAGTGAGCACATGCACCCTATAGCAAAAAAGAAACACACACACCACACACACACCAAAAAAAAGAAAGAAAGAAAGAAACTGAGGCTCAGGATGGGGGCTTGCTCAGCGTGAAGCTTCGAAGTAGCATACTCAACAACACAGATCTCGCTCACACTTGACAGCACACAGATCTCGCTCACACACCAAAAAAAAAAAGAAAGAAAGAAACTGAGGCTCAGAATGGGGGCTTGCCCAGCATGAAGCTTCGAAGTAGTAGAGCCAGGATCTCAACCTGGGCATGTCTGACTCCGAGCCACTGAGTCACACCACCATGGACTTAGTTCAGGGCAGGACAGATGGAGAAAAACAGCAGAAGCAGCCATCATAGTTGGTGCTAATTGAACACCTACTATGTGCTAGCCAGATCTAGGCAGGTGCACATTTTATGTACTTATTTAATAGCAAAAAGGTCCGTGCACAAGAGAGAGAGAGAGACAGAGAGAGCACCCCCAGTGGGGCACAGTGATGCTGCAGTCTCTTCATCTCGTCAGGATTTGAGGCACGAACATACACCCAGCATGTTTTTGAAGTCTCGCAGGCTGGGATTCGAACCTTCCCTCAGCCCTGTGGGATCCAACTCCCTTAACCACTAGACTAGGGGCCACCTCTGCTGCAGGTAAGCATCCATGCTTTCATGTGGCTAATCCTGTTTGCAGAGCACGAGAGGGAGGCCCAGTGAAGCAGTGTTTCATCAGCCCACAGCAGAGCAGCCTGGAGCGGGACTGAAAGGCAGGCCACGCTGGAGACTCACCTGTGGTTCTGCTGGAGCGGCTCCGTGCTGATGTGCCACCCGCGGAAATTGCCTGGCAGGGAGGAGCAGGAGGGTTAGAGCAGTCCCTCCTGGGGGCCGCCCTCCCCTCCGCAGCAGCCCCAGCACTCACCCAGAGCCTCCAGGGGTTGCTGGGTGGGCCCAGTAGCGGGAGCTGGCTGGTAAATATTGATGCCTGAAACGCACAGGGGAGCGGAGCCTCAGGGCAGCCCCCCCAGAACCTCACCGCACCCTATGCCCAGGGCTACACTGGAAAGGCAGGAACCCGTGCCAGCCCAGAGCAGCCAGGCAGGGAGGAGTGAGTCAGGGCCCGGGAGAGAGCCGTGAGAATGTCTTGAGGGGAGGACAATGCCCAGACGGGGTGGGGGGTGGGTGGGCTGTGATGAGACAGAGTCAGAGGGACAGAGACAGAGGAACCCAGAGGAGGAGATCCAAACAGGCAGAGGAAGAGAGAGAGAGAGAGAGAGACAAATACAGGGGGAGACAGAGACAGGAGAGAGACAGTACAACACAGGGATGCTGGATGGGACAAAAAAAAAAAAAAAAAAAAAAAAAGAGAGAAAAGACAG